ATTTTCTTAAAAGTTTCACTATATTACATGTGTTATGGTGAATAAAAAGTCAGCTTCTTACAAGTTTTTAATCATAGATACAAAATGTTATAATGTCTTCTAAGAATTAAAAATCAGGAGCGGCAAGCTTAATTGGAAAAGAAACTGTAAATGAAATATTCACTATATCTTAATATGCATTGTTATCTTGTAAGTATTAAATTAAAATATTTCATAAAATAATTTAGTCTTACTAATAGTTAATACGTAATGAGAACATAGTCAGCTATGAGCAAGGAATATTTCTAACACTTAAGTAGTTTTTGAAGTAATTTTCTTTCACATTCATTTTTTATCTGCCTCATCCTGTATGTGTAGCCATTCAGGACCCTAGAGTCACTTATATTGAGCAAATGTAAAAACTTTAATAAATAATTATCTAAAAAGCACACATAGAGTAATTCTAAGGAATACTTGTAAACTTAGAAACATCATGCTTCTCTGTAATTATATTAGCAGATGTTCTTATAATCTTACAATGTATCTGATTATTGCTCTCTACCTCCCTTATAACAGGACAAAGGGCATTGATAAGTTGTTAAAGTCTTATGTGAATTAAAAATTAGCTGCAGCAAGCTGAATTAGAAAAAAAAAAAAAACCTGTAAATGAAAAATTCAGTATCTCTTAACATGCATTGTTACCTTGTAACTATTAAATTAAACTTATCACATAAATTAATTAAATCTAATTAGTAGTTAATATGTAATGACTACCTAGTCAAAAAAACCCTTAATGATATTCTAATTGTAGTCAAAAGTACTGTGTAATCTGTGCTTATTGCATTAAATCACATATCACACGCCCGTTATCTCTTTTGTTTTCTAAATTGGAACTTCAGTTCAGCCCCTGCTTCTTAATCAGGTAACACTGAAAGTGAACTGGCAGTAAGCCAAGGAATCTGCTTAAATTGAAATGCAAAAGAGGGTTTGAGCAAAAAAAGGCTTAATCTTTTAACGCCTTAACTTTAGTGCTAATGCAGTAGTGAGGCTGAGGCTGGCATCAAATTATTCATGGTTTGGCTCCTTTACACTTTTAGTAATGTTTCTTTGTAGGTGTTTTGTTCAGGTGGTAAAGAATCATGTGACAAGTTTTTTTTTTTTTTTATGACACTGCATAAGGTCTTTTTAATTTTCATAGTCACTGAAATGTTTTTGGTGACAAAGGTGCATAATAAAGTATTTCGGTTATTTCTCTTATGTGATTGTTTACTTAACAATAGCTCTTCACAGACTTTCAAAATAAGATACTGCGATGTTCACTATTATTTTCCATTATTTTTTTTCTAACTATAATACCTTATCTAATACAAATGAGGCTTTGATTACCAAAAATATAGTTTATAAGACAGCTTCTGAGCAGGCCAGACATGTTTTGTTATAATCTAAAACTAAAGATTTCTTCTAATCTTTATTTTCTAAAAAATGTTTCAACTTGGAAACTTACACCAAACATTCAGACTTCCTAAATTATAAGGAAGATAACTGAAAGAAAAGCAGGAAAAATTTTAAGATCATAGTTATTTGTTTCAAATATTTAGCCAAATGCCAACGAGCATATTAAATTTTTCTTAGTATTTTTCTATTTCTACTATAAGAATGACATTTAAAGTTTAGCAGCTAATATCAAAATTAATAATCATATTGTGGGCTAACTTTATATAGCTTATCATTAAGTGAATTTTCAATTACCGTCATATTCACTTTGAATATTTATTATATTATTCAATTGTTAAATATTCCCCTGAAGGTAATAATCTAACATACATAAAATATGGTCAGGGAATATATGAGAAAGTCAAGATAATACTGAAGTTAATGAAAACTGTTCTTAAATATATAAAAGTTTGAAAACGTGAGGTAAGTATATGATATATTTACTTTTGCTCAAGAAATAGTAGAATTTGAAAAATAAAAAGGAAGAAAAAAGTTAAAAGTATTGCTAACAAGAAAAAGTAAAAGCTTTATTTATTTTTAATTACAGATATCAAATTAATTGAACACTTTATAAAAATATAAAAATAATAAATACTAGACATATGTAATTATATCTATATGATACAATAAAATGAAGAACTAGTACAAATTATTGATACACACATGTATATCACTTTGTGTATCAGTGTACGGTTACTGAAAAAAGCTAACATTGACTACTCACAGAAGGGATTAAGCATTTTGCGTATTGCTGGGGATATAATTCAGTGGCATAAGCACCTGCCTGGCAAGCACAGGTCCTGAGTTAAACTCCCCATACAAAAAATGTATTTTGCAAATAAGATATCTATTAAGCATTAATATCCAAAATACATAAGGAATCAAATAACAAGGAAACAACGTGATTTAAAAATAGGAAAAGGCTTGAAACATTTTTTGAAAGAGATATTCAACTGCCCTAGAACAATGTTCAGCATCACTAATCATGAGGTAAATCATGAGAAAAACAAAATCACAGTGAGCTCTCACATATTTTTAGGATGGTTCTTATGAAGGAGACAAAAGGTAGTGTTACAATGGGGGGCAAAAAACTCTTATGAGGCATATTGTTGGTGGTAATATAAATGAAGGCATTCATTATAAAAAGTGTATCTAGAGTCATCAAAAATAGATCTACAATGATTCAGTAATTTTTCTTTTACATATAAACCTAAAAGAAATGAAATCAGCACCTCCTACAAATACCCATTTCCTTTCTTTGAAGCACTATTCATAACGGCCAAGATAGTGAATAAATCTAAATGAACACCAAAATGATCAGAAGAAATAAATGCATTGTATGTACATAATGAAATACGCTTCAGCCTTAAAAGGAGAAAATCTTTTCATCTGCAACAATGTGCATGAATCAGGAAGCCATTATACTATGAAAATAAGCCAGGCAAAGAAACATAAAATAGCATGTCCCATGTATAAGTGGGATTCTACCAAAATTCTAGAAAGTTATCAGAAGATGGGAGGAGGTATAAAGAGAGAGAAGGGGAAATGTTGATCAAAGAGTGAAAATTTTCAGACAAGAGGGACAGCTTTTGAGATCTATTGTGGAGTATTCAAAGTCCTCTTTAGTTATTAAGTTACTTATTATTAAAAGATTATAATGGAAAATAGTTCACACTGCAATATATAATCATTTTGGTATCTTTTTCTTAGTATCTTTTTATAGCTGAATTTAGTAGTGATGACTAAAGCATCTCTCATGTAATTACGTATTAGCATTTTACATTGTCTTTATATATTTCTCCTTTTGTCATTCTGAAACTTGAGTACATGTTGAGCTTTGATTTAAATTTCAATCAATCCCAGTATCTTAATAAGGTAGCATTTCTAAGGATTTGTATATCTCCTCCCAATATCTAGGGTTAGTCTCTTATGCATGAGCCAATCTGACTTCTTTCATTCTAGCAGTATCAATGATGTTATTTTCTCATGAATTTCTTTTTTCCAAATATATGCAACATGGAGTTAGCCAAAATTCTAACATATATAAAGTAAACTGTAAATTATTTTAAAATTTAAATGCTAAAAGCCTATATCTATTGCTTCATTAAGAGAATTTGTTGCCTGTTAGCATTTTGATAATGGGAAGAGGCTAAGAGAATTTTAACACTTTCTTCCCAAAATAATTGGATGTTTTCTAATATAAATCATGCACTGGCACCTTAAGCTTTTGCTCATTTACATTTACTAAAGAACAATTAAAAGGTCATAAATGAAACTTGATCTCAGATATACAATTGCACATTATAAAATATGGACAAATGTGCCAAGGATTTAAGAAATATTTCCAACATACCTATAATGTTGTTTAAACTTACAAGAAATATACTATAAGTAACAAAACTGTTTTAAGGAAAAAATATATTTTTAGTAAGTTATTAGCATCACTTTCTCTATTGTGCATTATTTATATACCCAAGCTTTTGTTGGTATTTTAGGATGTTTTTATATTATTACTATTTTTCCTTTTTGAGACAGGGTTTTGCTATGCAATTAAGGCTGTCCTTGAGCTCATTTGTAACCCAAGCTAGTCTCAAGTTCACAACGATTTCCTGCCTCAGCCTCCCGGGTGATGGGATACAGGTGTGCACCACCACAACCAGCAGCATTTTAGGATTTGTGATGGCAATAAAATGAGTTTCTTAAAAATAATCTAACAGATAATAAATATGTAAAATAATATAGTTAACCTATGTCAGTTTAACTCAACACCAAAAGAAATGCTCTAGTAGAAATCTTTTGTCAATAAAACTGAGTCATGCTTTCTCTTTAAAAGCTATGCCTTTTCAAGCATCAAAGAGCCTCTAACCATCTACTTTTGATGATTCATAAATATGATGTTAAATTTTTTCATTTTAGAATAATATATTTATCAAATTACTTTGACATGTCACAAAATGACTTACATTTATGTTAAACATCTTACTTCCCTTAATGTATAGTTCAGGAAAAGTTAAAAATTTGTTTTTAACAATTTTATCGTAGTATTTTTTGGGTAGGCAATACATATGATATATATATATATATATATATATATATATATATATCAACACATTTGCAATAGTATTATGTATCTTTTAAAGATGTAAGACAATTCATATAAACAACTTGAATAGAACCAAAACAATCATTGAATATTTTAGGAAGAGACCATGTAATATTATTAGAAAATATACTTTATACAATTATATATATAACTCACAGTCAAATATTATATATAACTCACAGTCAAATTGCCTCTGTGTTTATGATGTAAATTTTTTAAAACAAGGAATCACTGGTTTCTTGATGGACTATTAAATATAAAGCACTGTGAAGTCACCCATTACATTCACTAGATTTCTATAATCACTGACTTTGAATGGTAACACTCTAAACAGTAAAATATGAATTATGTATACATTTTAAGTATTTTAGAAAATCCACTTTTTCAAAGCAGAAACAAAGTATATGAATTCAAAAGAACTTACATTCAATATCAAGGTACATGCTCTTTTGGTGCCCTCCAATTCTACTTGCAGCTTCGCAGTCGTATCTCCCTGAGTCTGACAACTGCACGTCTTTAATATGTAAGGATGAGCTTCCATGCTGCCCTGTGACTTCAATACGGCCATCGGGGCTCTGTTCACACCGATTCAGGAAAAAGAAAGATTTATGCTGGTTTGTCAAAACAGTGGTCCAATTTATGATATTCATCACATACACACATAAATGAATTTTTATCCACATTAGTTTTTAGAATGTGTTTCCGTATTGTTGACTTAATTGAGTTTACCTGTCCACTTGCATATCATGACATTCCCATGTGAATACTTGAACACACATTTTTATCACTTCTACTAAAGCTGCTTTGTGCTTTATAAAAAGCTTGCATTTTTGGAAGGATTTTGTGGGCTAATTACACTGCTTGCAAGCATAACATAACAAAAAGGCTTATTCATGTCTGTCTAAAAGTTGCCAATGAAAATTCTTTCATTTAAAAATACATCAAGATACAACCTTTAAAGCTAACTTTTAGTCTTCATTTTGAATGGATAAAAATCACTATGTACAATTTTCACCACAATATCAAAGGATGCATTATTAAAAACACAGTGATCACTAGCCTCATATTAGACTAGTGAGAACTATAGAAATAATCACTTACTCCAGGAATATTAATTCTAACCAAGAAATTGCTGGTTATCTAATAGTGTATAGATTTTACTGTATATCCAATGGGATTTCTTACATTCCATTTAATTAACATACTTAAAAGCTCTTGGGGCTGGGGATTTAGCTCAGCGGCATAAGTGCATGCCTTGCAAGTGTGCAGTCATGAGTTCGATCCTTGGTACCGATAAAAATGAAAAAGGCAAAAAAAAAAAAAAAAAGCTCTTTAATTATTTAAGCACCATCATAGGAGTCATATAAAAACAAAAAGTTTTCATTGAATTCCACTTCATAAAATCAGAAAACATAATAAAAATTTCTCTTTCAATAGTTCATCACACAAATGTACATAATGTTTTTGAATTATTTTTAATTCCTGAGGTTTTAAGTTCCTCAATAAAAGATTTTATGTCACATATCTGTACAGAAAAATGTTATGGCAGTAAAATAGTTGATGAATTTTCTGTGTTACTGAAATTCAAATACGTTTCAATGTGGACAGTGTGTCATAAAATCTTCCAATATGTTCATTACCAAATTATTTTTATTTAAAGAAGAGGACTACTGCAAAGCTTTTTTTTTTTCAAAAATAATTTGATTGGGGACACCATATTGCTACATTTTTGTCTTAATTTTATTAATGAATTTAATCAATATATAACTTTATAACTTCTTCAGTTACTCAGAGAAAAGGGAACATGGGTTAGTTGTACCACTAGTTTCTCTCAGTTCATTTAAGAAAAAGTTAGTGCTAATATCATTTGGAGAATTTTTTTATATGTATGATAACAATATGCAAGTATTCAGCATTGTTATTCTCCTATCATTTTCTTATGAAATTTAAAGAAATTTCATTAACAAAAACTTAGAAGAGGATTTATACCGCAAACACAAGGTCTGCTCCCTGTGGTGGTTAAGGGTGTTAACTTGATTCACTTGGGAGCCTGGATTAGTAAAGCACCCTTCCATGTGTGCCTGGGTGCCTCGTGGAGTGGAGGTATCACCTTGGGCACTGTGTGTGGCCTTGGCCCCTTCTCACTGGCACAGTTCTGTTGCTCTGCTTTATCACTGCCCCCAGCTGAGCACCCCTGTTCCTCCAAGCCCTTTCTCCATTATGTTCCTGCTGTGAAATCACTCAGTCCTGGATCAATGATGGAAACCTCTGAAAACGTGAACCAAGTAAATTATTTCTTTCTTTTAATTCTGTGTGTTGGGTATTTGGTCTCAGCAACGGCAAAGCTAACTAATATATTCCTGAACTCTCAGGTACTGCTAAAATAGTAGTAATGAGAGGTTCTCAAGAAATAAGGCCTTCTCTTCAGCTAATTCTTAAAATATTTCGTTTCTAATTCCATGTAATTAACTGATAGGAAAGACTAAAATACAATCAAGAATTGACAGAAATCAAAATCATAGCATGGAAAACCAAAAGCAAAATCACCAGGTTTTAGACATGATAACTATTTCTCAATAATTAAGAATGTACTGTTTGCCTCTGCCTTTGCTCTGGCCCTACTCTCAGTTGGAGTCTATTAAGCCATTATTGCTTCTTTAAGCACTATAAGCACTAACCTCTTTTGTTTTTCTAAGTTTTTGTTAATACTTGTTTGCAGATATTTAAGGACCTTCATTTGTTATCACCTTCCTATCTAAATCACAGTAATTTTGAACTATGTCCTTAATATCCTGTGTTTTCTATAAACAACTTTCACAGACATATCATGTCATTTTATGTGTAATATATTCATAAAAAGATAATATTATCTATACTTTAAATTGCTGACAAAATATTAGTTTATATTTAAGATATTCCCTGATTTCTAAATAAATAATTAAGTATCTTTGATTCAATACTTTCTTTGGATTAACTTCTTTTCTTAAAGGTTTTTTGAACTTCATATTTCATTACATAGGGTGACAGTGTGATTGGACATATGTGAGAAATGATTATTGTGCTTTAGATAGGGTAACCTGGACAAGTACCTCTGGCAGAAAAGTTATACTTGAATATTAATATAAAGCAACTTAAATTATAATGATATTTACATATTATTGAGGAAAGCAAATAAAACCTTTCAGGTTTATTTAGGATAAATTAAAATTTTCATTTAACATTTTTTAAGTATAGTAACCAATATATTATCAATAACATAAATCAAATTCAGTATTTTTCATAAAGTAATACACTGTGTTCACTTCTAGGCTTTCTGGCTAAGATCAAGTGTAAAGTAATACATTGTTCATTCTTAGTATTGAAAATTGAGTTTCAAATTGTCAGTGTTTCTCCCTTGAAAACCAGTATATTAAACTAGTATCGTTTATTATAGATTAGAGCTCTTGACTTGAAAAAACAATTGGCTTACATGCAATCAGCATGCTATAAGTAAAATGTTTGTTATGACTTGTATCTAGATATCCCTCAAAGTCGCATGTGTTTGTAGATGGGACTTTGTGAGGTTGCTGGGGTTAGGGTGTGTGGTACCAAATTAGTCTACTGATTGGAATTAGCATAGTACTACATGCAGTTAAATGGATTTCTGCAAAAAGAAGCCCGGCCCCTGAGCTTATAGACTGGTGGGATAAATGCGAGTGGCAGCATTGCTTGTGCTGCTGCTGCTGCTCCTCACGCCCTTCTGCTTGACACACCATGACCTGTTTCTGCACTGTGACGCTCCTCTTCCATGCTACCCTGATTTTGAACTAGCTGACTATACAAAAACCTTTGCAAATTGTGAGCTGAAATAAACCTTTCCTCCTTTAACTTTGGGTATCAGATATTTTGTTTCTGCAATGAGAAAAGTAATTAAGTTTATGCGTAAGTTAAGTTCCTCCAAAGTTATTGTCAGTGTATCAGAAATTATTAATAAAAATTCTGGAGACACAGAAACTTTATAAAATATGCAATTCATTTAGAATTTGTAAATCATTTTTAGATTCAAAATTGTTTTTTTAAAAATGCACCATATATTTATCTGTATGTATCTATATCTATATATTTACCTGGGAGAGGGGGACACTAAAGTCATTCCTTCATTTATCCGACATTTAAAGAACAGCTTTTAGTGGTACAAAAAAGCACCACACACATCTGAAATAAAACTCATTTGTAACTTGGCTTTGATTCAATACCTACTGAAGATTAATTTAAGACACCTGATATTTGATTGAGACAGGTTAATGGGCATTTGAGCTATCTCTCCACTATTTCTAGGTTCTAGCACTGAATTAAATAAGATGATTAGAGAGAAAAGAGAGAAAAGTGTCTCACTGTACATTATTATTCCTAACTTTCATAGAAATCCACTTTCTGAAATTTGATTTATGTCATATTCTTTGCCTTTCTAGAAGGTCAGTTTAAAAACTGCTTATTTGAATAGCATCTCAATGTATATAAAATGATTATTTTTAGAGTTTACTCTCCTTTCAAAGCCCCTTAATCTTGTATGCATTTGATAGCTATCTTGTTGTGTTTAGGTGTAATTTAACTGTTTGACAATTTAACTATAACACTATTGTAATATACAAAGTGTCACAAAATAACTTTATTTTTGTTACCTTACCTATTTATTGACAAATTTAGAATCCTACTGCAAAACACTATATATTTGATATGATCGATTCTGTGTTCACAACATATCCTTGAACATTTAAAAAAGTATTGAAAACTATGGCCTTTTGACAAAGACACGAATTATGTAAGTCACTCAATTTTGTGGACTTTGGGAGCTCATATTACAAAACAAACAGGCACTGAGGATAAAGTGCTGACGATATTAGGTTAGGGTCTATGCTCAAAGACATTAAACAAAGAATTAAGTATTAACTGTGAATTATAATCAAAATTTATTTAAAAATCAGAGCTCAATGTAATAATTATGAATATAATTAACTATAAATGTAATTTACATGATAAATGTCACTTGTTAGACATCATTCTCTATATACTTAACGGTCTACTTTATCCCAGTAATTCTACTAATATGTTGATCCTAATATCATCCTCATTTTAATTACAAAAACTTGCAGTCAGAAACAAAGATTAACTCACCTAGGTCCTGTACCTTATAAATGACAGAAGCAAATATTCAGGCTCTCTGGCCCCGTAACTCATGTTCTATGTGCTATGTGTCTCATCATCTGAGCCTCAACTACGATACAGAGCTACAACTGTACCATTACTGTATCACAGGCACTGTGCTGATTTCTGGGGATACAAACTTTTAGATGGTAGGTGAATTTATTAGTTTATTCAGTAAAAAAGCTCAGAAGGAAAAATGATAAATTAAAATGCATGCTGGTATAGATGAAATTCAGGAATAAAACCTAATAATGGTTCCAGAGGTAAAGAACAGTATCTTTTTAATTTTTATTATTATTATTTTTTGTACCAGGGATCAAACTCACGACCTGGCGCTTGCCAGCCAGGTGCTTAAGCCACTGAGCTAAATCCCTGGCCCATGAACAGTATC